CTCCCCCTCCCCCTCCTCGGCCTCCTCCTCCTCTGCAGTGGAGGCCGGTCGACAAGAAACCTTCCGCAAGTTCCCAGACTGCCCACTGAACTTCGGCGTGGGAGCGACACGCTTTCCATCGCAAAACCATCGAAACCGAAGAAGCCGAGGGCACCCTGGAAGCAAGCAGGGTTTTTCTTGGCATGGGTCCCCACTGTACGCATGCAAAGGCGGGAAGTGCGGAAGACAAGCGCGCGCGGCGCCAAGGCGAAGGCACCATTTTGAAAATGGCGTCTGCTCCATCGGTGTCAGGTGCCAAAATGGTCGAGCCTCGAGATCAGAAGCTGTGGGGAGATATCAGGCGAAACGCCGGGCCCGCCTTAGGGGCACCTCTGGTGGTGCGACACGAACGAGGCATTTGTAAAAATAGGGTTGGAGGACAAGCAGATGAAGGCGAAGGAACGCGGAGGAGGAAGCAGATTCTTGATGGGGTCCAGAGAGCTCTCCAGGGGGGGGTAAAGTTCTCAAATTGAGGAAGGGAAAGATGGCAGGCCTGCGAGTTGGTGTCGATTTATGCGTGTCTCCATGGGCCTTCTTAGGTTACGTTGCTTCCCCCCCGGAGGGGCAGAAGGCGAGGAATGGCAGCGATGTGCAGCTCGGACGAAGAAAACTGCCAACCGCCCCACTGATGGGGAGAGGTCCCCGCCGGACAGGAACTATCGGGAAAGGAAGGGACAAGATCAACGAAGAAGGGCAAACGCAACGAACGAAGAAGGAAAACGAAACTGCGTCCGCATATCCAAAGATCAAGACCACAGGCGGGCGGCCGAAAACTGGTCACCACACAAGAGCATCGTGATATTGAAACCTCGCCGACATGCAGACGACGTCACTGACGCGCGCGGGCAAGTTCCAGAAAGAGCTGCGATGGTCAGAGGCTTGCTGAACTGAAACAGATACGTTGCATCCACGCCGCTGGCTCTCAGACTCTGCCCCATGTTCCCCGGCCCATCCCCTTGCCGCCCCCCCCCCCCCCCACCGGGAAGCACCGGCACTCTTTAATCCGAGCGGCGGCCAGCTGCAAGCCGACGGCGCGCAGGGAGGGCAGTCTAGACCGCCAAGGGGCTGAAATCAAGTCAGACTCCTAGGAAGGCCGCCAGGAACAGCGCCCACAGCGGCGCGGGCGGTTGGAGTCGCGTCAGACACGTTTGGATGTTCCGGCCCTCCTCCGCCCTCCACTCTCTTGCCCTGACCCTCCTCAGCCGCGGTTGCCCCCCGCCCACACCTTGGCCGACATGGAAGTCATCTTGAAACAATCTTGACCGACACGGCCGACGGGAGGGGCACCCCGGCGCGCCGGGCCGAAGCCCCAGGGGGAGTTCTTTTGGAAAGGGACCCCACCCAAGGATCTAGCACGCCAAGCACCCCTGCGATACATCCGCCGACCTCTCGCGGGTCTCTAGGCGCGCGAGATTGCCCCCCCCAATACCCCCCCCGGGGACCCCAAACCGGCAATTCGCCCCCCCCCCACCCCACCCCACCCCACCCCCGGGCCGCGGAAGGTCCCAGACAATGCGCGCCACGGGTGGCGGGGAGAGGCAAAACGGTCCAAGAGGGCACCAAGACGCCCCCCAGAAGGTCCAAGAGGGTCACGAGTGGCCGACATAATGAAATATTTCCTGGCGGGGCCAGGAGACCCCCCCAACACTCCGCCTCGTCCTTCTCCTCCGTCTCGTCCTTTTCCTCCTTCCCACCTCTCCGAATTCTGCTTCCAGCTCCTGCTCGCGACGCGGCGCCTTCGGTGCGGGCGCGCGCGAGGCCTCGCGAGCTCTCGCACACTCCGCCAGTGCACGCAACCGATCGGTGCCGATCAGCTGCCTCGCAGGGGCGGTCGGGAGGGAGGAGTTCAGAGGGCGGGAGAGAGTTCAGAGGGATGGAGACAAGGGAGGCAAGAGTCGGAAGGAGGGAAGAAGGGTGGCAAAGGGTAGATGGGGGAGGGGGAGGTGGGAGAGAAAGGAGGAAACAACAAAAATAAGAAAAAATGCTAGCTGAGGGGGCAAGGAGGAGGAAGAGCCTCCTCCTGCTCCTCTCCTCCTCCTCTTCCTCCTCCTCCTCCTCCTCCCCCCTCCTCCCTCCTCTCCCTCCTCCTCCTCCTCCTTCTCTTCCTCCTCCCAGCCCTCCGTTTCTCCCCTCCCTCCCTGCTCCCCCTTCTCTTCTTCAGGAAGGCTCACCAGAAGGCCCATGGGGGCTCAAGTAGGACCGAAGCCAACACGAGGATACAATCGGGTAGGACAGATCGAGAATCTCTGAGATCCGGCGGCTCTGGAGAATGTCTCGGGCCCACGACCTCCAAGAGGCGTTCCGGGGAACGCTCTGAGAGCGATCTGGAACGCTCTGAAAAACGGATTGATCCTCTGTCCGAACGGTTTTTTTGAGGAAGATCGCCTCAAAAGAACGGTTTTTTTGAAGGCAGATCTGCCTTCAAAAAACTTTTACAAGTAGACAATTTTTGAAGGCAGATCTGCCTTCAAAAAAAAACGTTTTTTGAAGGCAGATATCTGCCTTCAAAAAAAACCGTTCTTACACAGCAGCCCCGAACGATCAGGAGAGCCCATGAACTGTACAGACAAGGTTTGCACGAACGCATATTCCGGCGTGCACGCGACGTCGGGCCCCGACGTACACAGTTTGATGGGAGCTGCCTGAAGAAGTCACCGTCACGTCATGCTTGAGTACTACTACTACTACTACTACTACTAATATACT